GTCGCCCATGATATATAGCCAGGACTGGAGTATTGTGTACACATATGTGTTTCTGATGGCCATAGTATTTCACAGTAATTGATATATTAATGATTAGGCGTAGAAAAAAAAGTAGTGTGTTTCCGGTAACCCGACCGACCGAGAAGTTACGTCGAAAAAAAAACTATGGTCGGCATTTTTTTCAAACAACCCTCTACATTTTTGTGTAGAGGGTTTACATCGGTGCAAACTCTCGCGATATTCACGTTGAGCGCGTGCGTCATTTGCCCTGTCGTCTGTCAACAACATTGAAACATGGCGGCGGCCGCGATCTCAGACGACAGTTTAAACCGCGTTTTCTGTGTTACAGTCGCAAGCTCGCACCGTAATGTTAAGAAAATAGCATCCATTGATGTATCGAAAAAATTCAGCGAACTATTTGATGAACACCATGGGCCGAGTAAAAACCGAGGGCGGAGGAGGACGGCGGGGGAAAAAAAAAAGATTAAAAAAAAAAACTTTGTCCCACCTACCGACCCTATGCTGAAATTTCATGTTACGGGAAACACACTATCTTTTTTGTTTGGTCTTAGCATGTAACCCCCCTCAACCCGCCTTTACCCCAATCCATCCCCAAATGAGGCCGTTTGTTCTTTCAAATGTCATTTGGCAGTTGAACAGAGAATTAAATTTAACGATATGGTAGCTTGTTTGCAGCCGCAAACAGTCCAGTGCCATGACCACGATCCATCAAACAAGCCACACCTACAGTGAGGCATACTTCGAGGCAGCCTCATACATGTGGACTGCCTTTCTTCAGCTGGACCTTGACAGCTGCAGAGAAAGAGTAACTTCATCTTTCATCATGACAAAGACCCAAAGCATACATTTGATTTGATAAAAGATTGGCTTCAGTGGGAGAAAAGCACGGTTTTGGAATGTCGAATTCCTCTGACTCCATTGATCGAATAGCCATCGAGTGATGTGAAGAGAGGGTTGTGCACAGCAAATGTCCTCACAATCTAAAAAACATTGGGACATTTTTGCAAATAGTGCAACATCAAGGTGTGGTACACTGATAGGCTCCTTGTGTGCTCATGTCACAACATTTTGTTTCCAATCAAAGAAAAAAAAAGCGAATCTTGCAAGATACTTGCTTTAGCCCCTTCTTCAGACACTCAGTCACCCAAACACACATTAAATTTGGGATATTGTGGCAACATATATAGCAAAGAAACGTAAATTCTAAGGCACAATAAACGGCAAAATAAATTGTCATCCGCCCATATCTCCAAAATGTATGCGTTCTGTTCCTCATCCTGTACATATTTTGCACGACTCAAAATGTGGCACAGCACACGAGCTGCAGAAACCAAATGAATGGCATCGTGTGCATCCTATTTTTGCTTGGCTCATGTGGCAGAATTATTTATCCAGGCAAAATCGACCGCAAAACTTAATCGACACCCAAAATTTCAGCCTCAAAACCATCGTTCATTTTTAAAAAATGGTCACCTGGAAGCATGTTTATCCGGTGCAAAGCAGAACTCAAATTTGTTGCAGAGAAGAAGGTATTCTGACATTCTTGTTCTTCTTTGCCTTGCAAGGGTGAAAAAAAACTGTGTGGTGTGTTTTCTGATGTTTGGCTTGTGTTTGTAGAATATTAAGCAGTAAAATCCATGCGTTTTTGTCCATTCCAGTGGCCGTTTTCCACCTTGCTTTCGACTGAAAATGACCACAGTCGCTCCGGTACGACCAATCATGGCTCAGCGTCAAAAAAAAGGTGAAACATGATTGGTTGTTACCTGAGCCATTAGCAACTGTGATGTCATTTTCAGTCGACAGCAAGTGGCAAAATAGTCGTCCTCTTAGATGGGGAAGCACGGGTGGATTTTGCTGCTTAACTCGTATTCTACAAACACAAAATTCATCAGAATGCATGTGGAGGTGCTTCGAACATCGGATTGTTAAAAAAAAAAAAAAAAATGGGGGTGATCAAATGGACCGACCGTACGTTTTTCCTGAATGAGCCCAAAGCCCAACGAAAACTTAATGAGACGTGAAAGAGTTGTAATGCCCGCTGGAAAAGATGGCATGTCATAAGCAGACGTTTTGAGGGAGGAAAAAAAATGTCGCAATTAGATTTTCCACAGTCATTCAGCCCGACTCTTGATGCTTTCCCTCGTAAACAGTAGCAAGCACCAAAACTATTTTGTTGACCACAAAGAGAGTCTTAACAACAAGGAAAAGTAAGCAGATCATCAAAACAGAAACAAATCAAAACAACCTTAACATTGACATGGATCCACGGAGACAGCTACCTACCTAGAGATAAGCGCTGCAAATGAGGTCCGAACTCAGGAATGATGTGTGATTTTTCCCTGGCAACAATGTGATTGTGATGATACTTTTAGGAGGTGCAAACACTCAAAAGAAGGAAACCTTCTTTGTTTACAGCTTTGGGCGTCTGATGCTGGCATGAGCTACAAACCCCCGACCGATTTGATTTGGAAGAACCAATCCTCCTGGAGCTTTGGGGAGGATGTCCATGTGGTTTTGATCAATGCACAGGGAGAGGTGAGGCCATGGGTGAATCTCACTCAGTTAATTATTTGTGTGCTCCTGCTTTTACGTATTAGCTCCTCCCACCAACAAATCAAGGAGTCCACAAAATCACTCGAGTGGTGAGAAGAGAGGATAATAATTTCGAGAAATTAGATTTTCTCTCTTTTTTTTACTGCCATTTCTTGGAGATTTCAATGAAATAAGAAGTGTGGCGGATTCATTCATTTCCCATGTGACTGACTTGTTAAGATCATAAGATGTAGTGGCTTGCAAAAGTAGCCATACCCCTTGAACATGTCCACATTTTGTCAATTTACAACCACAAACAGAAATGCATTTTACTTGGATTGGAATTTTTTTTCATATATTTATTCTGTGGGGGCGTGCTTCGGGAGTATGGAGTACCAAACCCCCTGATACAGGCTGTTCGGTCTATAACGCCCAATGTCAGAGTTTGGTTCGCATAGCCGGCAGTCAGTCGGAATCGTTTCCAGTGAGGGTTGGACTCCGCCAAGGCTGCCATTTGTCACCGATTCTGTTCATAACCTTTGTGGACAGAATTTGTAGTTGCAGCCGAGGTGTTGATGGGGTCCTGTTTGGTGGCCTCAGTATTGCATCTCTGCTTTTTGCAGATGATGATGTACTTTTGGCTCCTCCAAGCAGGGTTCTCCAACTCTCACTGGAGCATTTCGCAGCCGAGTGTGAAGCGATTGGGATGAAAATCAGTACCTCCAAATCTGAAACAATGGCCTTCAGTCGGAAAAGGGTGGAGTGCCCTCTGTGGGTCGGGGAGGAGATCTTGCCCCAAGTGGAGGAGTTTAAGTATCTTGGGGGCTTGTTCACGAGTGAGGGCAGGAGCGAGCGGGAGATCGCCAGGCGGATCGGTGCAGCGTCTGCTGTGATATGGACCAATAGTCTGTCGTGGTAAAGAAGGAGCTGAGCTGAAAGGCGATGCTCTCAACTTACCGGTCAATGTACGATCCAACCCTCACCTATGGTCACGAGCTATGGGTCGTGACCGAAAGAATGAGATACAAGCGGCCAAAATGAGTTTTCTCTGCAGGGTGTCCGGGCTCTCCCTCAGAGATAAGTTGAGAAGCTGGGTCATCTGGGAGGGGCTCAGGTTTGAGCCGCTTCTCATCCACGTCGAGAGGAGCCAGATGAGGTGGTTCAGGTATCTAATTGCTGGAGAGACGACTTCTCCCAGATGGCCTGGGCACGCCTCGGAATCCCCCGAGATGGGCTATAACAAGTCGCTGGGGAGAGGGAAGTCTAGGCTTCCCTGCTTAAGCTGTTGCCGCCGCGACCCGACCCCAGATAAGCAGTAGAAAATGGATGGATGGATATATTTGCAAATCTTAGTACCCTGTAGTTTATGCAGCGCCATGTGCAATGATTTCTACAAAGGAAAGACCAAGCAGCCTTGACACAAACGCATGGCCCAACGTGTGCCTGGCATTTGAATTGGCCAGATAACATCTGTGCTGTTGTGATGCCATTCACTTGACGTAAGACATTTGGAATCACAGCCAATCTCGATGCAGCCAGCTCAGGAAAACTAGTTGCCGAGCCCCCTCACTCCACAACATGACTGAATTGGTCATTGGCGTTTGGCAGTGGCGCTCGGTTTGCCGTTGGCTCTATGTTCCCCTTTGGGCGCTTCTCAGCACAGCCGCACGTAGAATGGCATAAGCTCACACACAAGTTTACGGTAAGCCTTATTCTCTGACTTCTGAAGGTAAAGTGGTTGCCCGAACACCTGGACATGACACACTTTTGAGAATTTTAACAAAAACGAGAATAAAACAATTGATCATTTCTTTTTCTGGGTCTGGGATGTCTAAGTCACTTTGACTTGACTGGTGTTTGCTTCATAATTTTTCATCACATGAAGTCATGACAAATGTGCAATACTTTTTCAAGCCGCTACTTCTGCTTGCCTGTTCCAAGTGGATTCAAGGAACCTCATATCTGATCAACACTGTCGCGCTACATAATTGTGCACGTGTTACTTTCCGGTCGTGGTTGAAACATGGCACCCACATGCTGTGCCATCTTGATGCGGGAATTTTATGTCAACTAGAGAAAATGAATGAGTCGATTAATGACATGATTCAGTCTGCTCCAAATATAAATGTCTCGTATAATGTGTATTCAAGCAGCGCCAGTCCAGTCACAATCTTAATTTTTGTGTGTCAGGAAGTGGCAAAGAGAAACATTACATATAAGACAGCCGAAGAAGGCGATGGTGTGGATGACTATGCTGATAATGGAGAGGAGATGCTTAAAGATGACCTCTACCAACAGCAAGTGAGTACAAAATTTTCATAATGTTGACCACAAACAGAAGCCGTTTTCTGGCTGTTCTGGCCAGTTGTCTTTGTTGCACGTAGCGTTCTTGCCTGCAGGTGGTTCTCAATATCACTGACCATTTTTCTCACCTCTGTCTTGTTTCTTCTCCCCCGTGCCACAATTACCACTCACTGAATGTTTTTTTTTTTTTGTTTGTTTGTTTTTGTGAAATACAAGCTCATATGATGCCTCTGTGTTTGTAACTGTAGCGTTGCCAAGTTTGATTTCGTCTTTGTTTTTATTTGTTTCGAGACAAATATGTGAATATGGATATGTACTGTAGATGCTTGTTGCCCTAAGTCAGTTGCTGTGTTTGGATGTTTGCCATGGATGAGTTAAGTGGGTGTTTTACAGAGAAGAAATAGATACGTTAGCATCAGTCGCCTTTACTTGTTTGTCACCATTGCTTTAAACAGTCAGATTTATTTGCCGAACTAACATCAAATAAATACGCAATGAATACAAAATGTGTGACTTGCTTGTGCGCAGGGTGACCCTGGCAGGGCCCAGAGAGGCTGCTCCGTCATGTGATCCCACCCAAACCACCAGTCGTCAACCGAGCCACCAACTTGCTGCCAACTGTGATGAAGAAAAAGAATCTCTTTTAAAATCTTTTTCAGGATAAATTGCATTTTACTTGACATTTTTCTTTAAGTCCAAAGTTGCTTTCATTGAGATGCGATCCTTCTTGAAACCGAAATACAGTTGTAGGTTGAAAGTCCCCCACACCACCAATCCTCGCCCCCCGTTTTGTAGCACTTGTAGTGTGTCTTCAGAAGAATTTAAATGGATTTTGCTTCTAATTTATTTGAAATTTTATTTTGTCTATTTTAAAAAGTATTTATTCTTTAAACCCTTTAGTTTCAAATCAGGGAACGCGATATGTCATTTTGAAACAATTCATATTTTATGAAAGCGTCATGAAAATTGACATCGAGAGCACAACAATGTTGACATTATTGGTTCAATGTCACCTGTCGATATGATGCTTATATTTTGCTAAGTCAGAGTACAGTTTAAACTGGTCAATAATGATCCACTTTGCAACCTTGTGTGCTATTTACTACTCGAAAAAGTCTAAGCTATAACTTTGGGTTTTTTCATAAATTTGCCAATGTGAGTTTGTTCTCACTGATCTTTGATAGATTTGCCCAACAGTTGATTGTATTCCTAAAATGTGAAGTCGTAGAAGTACTTTTTGTTTTGGAGTCTTACACTGTATAGTGTGGCAGCAATTGCCAGAGTCAAATTAAATATCCTTTGCTTGAACTATTGTGGCTGATCTTTTGTTATGGTTTTATGATTAATACATAATTAAGACACATTTTAAAGGTCTAAGGTGGGTATTGGTCATGTTGAGGTTAAAAAAAAAAAAGCCTGCGAAATCTCTTTGCCCTGAAGGAAATTATTACAATTTCACACTATTGATGACGTGTGGTCTTCATAGCTACGTGACCTGAACCACAGCGGACACGATACAATGTGTATTATTTTGTACACATCAAATCAGATTTTCTCATGTTAAAATCAGGTTGATTTATCAAAAGCCTTTGTCAGTTGTTGCAAACAAACAAAGACATGTGGAGGTAACTACTGTAGCGATCCTCTCACCCGTGCATAGCACCTGGTAAATAAAATCCGTGATTGGTTTCAGACGTGGTGGTGGTCAGCGTCCTCTGTATGGGCGCTCACACACAATTTTGTGTTGTTCAACTGGCTGAAATGTTGTTTGAATGGATTTGAAGCAAGTTTTTATGGTTGGTCAATACCTTATGACTTCCCTGTCACATGCAGCCCAAAGTCAGCATTCCTTCAGAGATGCTTGTTGATCTACCACAATGATTTTATATTTTCTGTTATGCCCCCTAGGAAGAAAATAACCCCCCATCCCCGCCCTCCCTTTCATTTCATCACTATTAAATAGTTTTCCACGTATCTGAAGATTTTGTTCACTGCACTTCATACTGCTTACTCTGTGCTGTGTCCATGTGCAGACTCGCTCTTTTTGAGACGGAGAGCTACTTCTCAAACACTAATTCATGTGATGGGCTACCAATTCGATGCACACTGAAATAACAAAGGTGTTCAGATTACCGGTACCTTTAAGAATAATATATCAGTGTTGTTAGTGATATTTTTTGTAAAGAAGACACTGAGCATGATTTTTCACCATAATTAGGCAACATACATATAATGATGCAACACTGCATTTCTATGTCTTACTGACATTTTCAAATGAGCACTTCAACATTCCTAAAAACAAAAAAATCACAATGTCCCATCACTGGTGAATTACTTTCAGAACAAGCATACTCATGTGGTCCTTGGGGCCTACCTAGTGCCCGTGGGCACCACGTTGGCAACCCCTGCTTTAGAGCAAATATCGGTACTCCTGCGCACCTTCTGACAATGGCAGTGCCCCTGACACTTACGTAGTTTATGTGCAATTACACTTTATTCTAACATGGCAAAAAGGCATGTTCCTTAGGGTATCACACTCCACATTTGTAATCTACAGCTTCTGGTACTTCGTCAAGCAGGTAAAAAGCCCATGAAAAGTTACAGCACAGAAAATTGCTGTCCTGAAGCATTCGGCCATATGGTCAGTGCTGAATTAGCTTTTGCGAGAGTCAATCTCGGCCGGTTTCTTCATTGAACTCCAAATGACTTTGTGTCCCACTCCTTCAACAAAAAGCTGCATTGAAAAAAAAGAAATTAACCTTTGGGATCGCATGCCTGCTGCTCGGTCATAGCAATTATCAAAATGTTATCCAATTATGTATGCCAAATCAAGGAGAATAGCCTCGTTATTCTTGATGTAAAATCACAGTCGATATACGAGTTAATGGCTTCCATCTCAACAGAGAAAGCACAGTCAACGGACTGAGTTGTGCTAATTCAACATAATGAATTAATAACAGACTTGGTAAAAAATGTTTATCACTTACTGCCTATGTATATTGCTATATTCAACATTGATGGTTTTGTTGCTCGATGAAATAACGTGATTAAAGTACTGGTCACAAATAAACCAAAGTTATGTCATTGTGAAAATTGGAATTCGCATATGTATCTATATACACCCAATTCCAATGAAATCGGGATGCCGTGTGTCAACGTACAATTAATTACAAGGAATTTCAAGGGATTTCATCATCTACAGTCCACAATATCATCAAAAGGTTCAGAGAATCTGGAGAAATCACTGCATATAAGTGGCAAGACTGAATATTGAATACCCCTGACCTTCGATCCCTCAGGCGGCACTCCATCATAAACCGTTATCAATGTGTAACGGATATCACCAGATGGGCACTCCCATTCTGTCATCTTTGCATTAGGTCCTGGTATAATTTAGGATTGAGTACAAAATGTTAAATCACTTTCAAAGCCTTGAGACACTGAGACGTGACACTCTTCCATTGTTGGTGGATCAAATCATTTCTTTGCAATGTTAGGTCACTGTCGTTTACTGACCGCTTTTTACTTATTGTTCCTCCTACAAGCAGAGGTGGGCATTTCGTCACTACTGAGGGAAGGTCCCTCAGTCTGCCACTGACGGATGCCCATATTGCTGATGAATGATGACTTTAAAAAAATTAAGAATCAAGCACTGACACAAGTGGGTTTTCATCTGTTAGTATAATCATCACTAACCGGTTCAATTACCGACTGACTGTCATTTAGTGATTTCGCTCAAAGCACACCGTGTCTCCTGCAAGTTTGTTGGTGACGGTGAATAAACAGGCCAAAAAATATCCACAATAAGTTCTATCTATGAAGTGACGAGACTGTGCACTTCGGACTTCTTTTCCTGGTCTACAGCGCTGTAAAAATATGGTGTGGCATCTTTAAGTATTCCCATAATTTAGATAATTTAGCACTCCTAAACTTTCGTTTTAACGTTTTTTCCTTGGAGAAAGAAAAAAAAACATTTTGGATTTTTCATGCTTTTTCTGGGATTCCTCCTCCGACCCATTTACCCAATTTTATGGAGAAAATATGTCTTTATATATTCTACCAACACGGACGCTCTGATCAGAAAGGGACAGAGCCGGCCCTCTTCCTACTCAGAAAACTGAGGTCTTTTGGGGTTCAGGGGTCACTCCTTAAGACCTTCTATGACTCTGTGGTGGTTTCAGCCATTCATCATGGCATAGTCTGCTGGTCAGGTAGCATCTCAGTCCGGAACAGAGAGAGACTGGACTGACTGATCAGGAGGGCCAGCTCTGTCCTGGGCTGTGCCCTCGACATTCTGGAGGAGGTGGGAAACAGGAGGATGCTAGCTAAGCTAACAGCTATGATGGACAGACCATCCCAGCCCCTCCAGGCCACACTGACAGCACTGGGCAGCTCCTTCAGCCAGAGACTGCTACACCGGCGCTGCAAGGAGGAGAGGTACCGCCGCTCGTTCCTGACGCCTGCTGTCAGCCTACTGAATAGACGCACTTGAAAACCTGGACTCACCCCCACTCACCCATTTTAAATACCACAGCCACCTTATGCAGCGTATATTCAGTTGCATATATGCTTCTATATTTTATATTGCATCCTGTCCTGTGTACAGTTCATTTCTAATTTTATTTTGTGCATGCAAATACTTCATGTTTTTCTACTTGCTTCCCTCTAAATTTTGCTGCTGTAAATTGCGAATTTATCCATTGTGAGACAAATAGGGGTTTTCTTATTTTATCTTATCTTAAGGTTTATCAGTGTTGGGGTTTTTTTTTTTCAATTTTTATTTTTGAGGGCGGGTTGTTTAGAAAACATTTAAAATACGTTTATATATTTTTTTTCGTTAAGGTAAGGCCGCGGGCATCCAGTTGCCCATCACTGCTCCGTGGTGCTGAACAGTTTCATCGTCACTTGAGCTTCATTCGTACGGATACTACATTACCCAGGAGGCTTTGGGCGGAGACGAAGCTGGAACAGGAAACGCGTCAGCTTTGGTGTTTTTAATGTATTTAATCATAGTAGTCTTGTTCATTCATCTGAACGGGACACTGGGACAGGATCGCTTTTATTTTGAAGGTATGCTAGTGTCCATCCGTGGGTAGGAAACGTGAACGCTATTTGATTTACGTCACTCTCGGTCGATGTTTATCACGTTGAGCATGAAGGTGGTACCGTAGTAGTAGTGGACTGTTCAGCTCATCCTTCCTTCGTATCCACCGCAGAAATTATGCTCTCTTTTGCTTGGATCTCAGCTCTACTCGTGGGAATTATTTCTGCTCATTTTTTGCAGAAACTTTGTTTTCCCTACTTTTGGAAAGATTTCTTCTTCCTTTTGAGTTTGACTCGGTATGGCATGAAACTGGAGCTGTTCAGACTGACTTCTAGAGTGTGTACAGTCCTAGACAGGTTTATTCAACAGGCGCACCGCAACCCCGACAAGGCTTTTATTATCTACGAAGGGAGCGTCCACACCTACAAAGACATTGAGCAGCGCAGCAACAGATTGGCAAATGTTTTCCTCCAGAAACTTAACGTGACCAAAGGCGACTGCGTTGCCCTGCTCATGAACAACGAGCCGGACTTCGTTTGCGTTTGGTTCGGATTGGCAAAGGTCGGCTGCCCTGTTGCTTTTCTGAATACAAACATTAAGTCGAGATCGTTGTTGCATTGCATCACCTGCTGTGGAGCCAAAGCAGTAATAGTTGGTGCAGGTAAATACATCCTCTTACACCAGTACGTAGTACTTGTCACTTAAGTGGCTGTCGTGGATATGTTTAAATCCGAAACAAAACTAAACAGTTATGGGAAAAGTAGTTTAAAGAAAATTCATGACACCATGTCTTGTGCTAAATGTTGAAATGAGTTATGTTTCGGAATTGTGGAATTTCAAACGAGGCATTACATAGTGTGTGTGTGTGTGTGTGTGTATATATATATATATATATATATATATATATATATATATATATATACATATATATATACATATATATGTATATATGTATATATATAGATAGCTAGATAGATAGATAGATAGATAGATAGATAGATCCATAGTTATGACAGTCGTGCCGCCAAGTGATAACTCCGAATGTTATGAAGCTAGCGCGCCCTCTGTTGGCCCACAAACCCAAATTCCTGAATAGACAAGTTACGTCCATGACAGGTTCGTGTGATTTAGAGCACATTTGATCAAAAAAATGATCGATACACAACCAACTTGAATTTAACATAATTTCGTATTAAGATTTAAAAACAACTTCGCTGATAAGAAGCCTTTAAGTACCAACGTGCAAAATTTCTGCCCATCTTTTATGGTGCTTTTCTCAAATCAAATTACCACAGAGGGTAAAACAAAATTTGACTAGGGAAAGTTCTGAAAATCAACCAACGATAAGATTATTTGACTTTCTATGACTTTTGACCTCATCTCGTCGTTGATCAGGCCAATGTCGATACAAAGCGAGTAGGTTTAAGGTCTACAAATGATTGCCACTCACCTGGAGAAACCACATATTTATTAACAAGCATAGCATATTGGGGTTAATTACTCAGATTTACACTGTGTTAAATGATGGATACAATACAAGTGATGCTTTATTTCATTCCTGTATCTACCTCTTTGTAATGCCCTCTCTCCCCCTTTTTCTGGAAATACAGTATTTACATTTTCAGTTCTTTTGACATGTTTACTAATGTGTGAACTCTGCGTTCACGTCAATAAATTTGTCCGGCCTCAAACAAAAGAACATGCAAGTACTGATGAGCTAGAGGAGGGGGGCCTTAATTGATATTATCTTCGTAGTAATATTAATTGGGCATTCCTTTACATTTTATCCCTCCTCCAACACACACACTTTTTTAATATGGCGCCCTCTAGAGGCCACAGCAACCTTAGCATTTGCCTATATTGCGTCATGGACGAGCAGGCTCTCGACAACAGAAACTTCCCGCATAACAACACTGGCAGCAATAACAGAAACTGGATGCAATATGCAAAAGGTAGAGTGCTGATAATGTCTGAGACACCAGTTTCTGTTCTTTTGTGATCTTGCTTTTCCCTAATCAACATTGTGATCACAAGCAACTGTTCAAAACTTAATTTACATGTTTCGTTCAAGCCATAAGTATGCTGAACGTTATATTGAAACAGTCTTCTTCTGTCCTGGGTTAACTGGAAGTGTTCCAGGTCCTTCAGTTAATAAGAATTACCATGGTGCAACCATGTGACAGGAAAAGATCATTGCTCAACTAAACAAGCATGATGTTGGTTAAGAATGCTGTCCTCTCAACCCTCTTGCAAAGGCAGGCACATTGGGATAGCGAGAATCATTCAGTAACTGTGCCATGTATAGGTCATTAGGTCTTGTCTGTCATTACAATGATTGGAATGTTGTGTTTGTTTTTCAAATGCAACGACTGACAGGGAATATACATATATATTCAAATTTATTTCAGATTTTGAACATATGGAATGTCATACTTTTTTCTCTACTGCCAAATTTCTATTCTGACAATCGATGAAAAACAAGTTCAATTACTGAATTTAGTGTTGTGTGTGTGTTTACCAGACAACAATTATGACATGACTGCAATGGTTATAGTTGACGTCATTGTTATAGACTTGTATTTAAGTATTCAGAGTCACATCTTGTGGTATCTGGTGTCACAAGCTCTATCAGTTGTGGCTGTGCTTGTTGCATTTGTCAACCAATTTTCTTTAGTTGTGATACAATCGGGGATTGAAAGGATGGCAAAAATCTCATAAAGCTTTTCGCACTCTCACCTGAGACGAAAGGAAACTGCAACTTAAATTATGAGTCTAAGCCAAAGGTGAAATATCCTGTTTTTCTTGACTGACTTGGTGTCTCAGAAGACACTTGCTGATCATAGTGGATCGGTTTGTGTGCCCCTATGATCCTAGGAACTACGTTGTCGGGGGCTTCATTTTAAATGGACTGCACTTACCGTATATAGCGCTTTATCTACACCAGGGGTGCCCATTACGTCAATCGCGATCGACCGGTAGCTCGCAGACTGTTCCCAAGTCGATCGCGAGGGGTGTAGAGGGAAAAAAAAGTTTGTCTATCTCTGTGTATGTTAGTAATATACTTTATATGTTAATGCAATTGCACCCTAATCATCCTATCAGTCTCACTTTCACAAAAAAGTATTTAAAAAATAAAATAAAGCAGGTCACCTTTAACCTACGGTGGCATGACTGCGTCACCGGAAGTTAGCACTCAGCAGTCTGCAATTGTAGCTTGTGATCAGAGCTGTTGCGATATAGCTTTTATTATTATTATTATTGTTATTATCAGTCAAAGTTCGTTTCATGTACAATTCACCGATGGCACTCGCAAAGAATGGCAATCTGGAAGGCCATGAGAAGCATTTTAAAACAGTATGTGTGAGCTACGATAGTTAACGGGCTGCAAAAGTGCGTCGCATGCATCCGCGTCAGGCCTCCCACAAAGGTAGGCAGGAAATCCTTTTCACAATCTCATCAACTCTTGTGTCTACTTTATTTTTCTCTGTTTCGCTCATCTTAGGCAGTTGCTCATCATGGCATGCGTGTGTAAGCGTGTGCGCATGCGCACGTGCATGGTAACGGATCGATCACGGGAGGTTGGTTGATCGAAAAGTAGAACTTAGGTCAACAAAGTTTGGGCACCCTTGATATACACCATATGATACTTAAATAACCTCACATTCACCTGTTTATGCACACATTCATACACCATTGGCCGGCTGTGGCAAGGCCTCCTGGGAGTAAACTATGTCTTGCCCAGGAACGCGTTGACACCAGACAGTCAGAGCCGCGATTCGAGCTGGTGACCCTTCATGATTGCATTACCCCTCTACCAAATGAGCGACAGCCGGCCTAGCTCTTGGCCACCCAGGGCGAACAGCTCCTTAGTAGGGGGGCAAGACAATGCATGTCTCAAATGACTTATGACAAAATTATTGGGCAACCTTTCCCTGTTCCAGACAGGGGTCACAGGGCCCCTGTCTTGAACCAGGCCTGGACGTGGGGCCTGTTGGCGAACGTCTGATGGCCAGGCCTGTGCCTGTGGGCTCAGCCAAGGCACACACCCCGAAAATACAATGTGAGTTGTAGGCTGTAAAATACCATCTGCAGGCGATCAGTTTTTGGTGATCGGCATCGGAGCGCCACTACTCATCATATGTTGGTGGTGCCAAGGACATTGGCTCTATTGTGGAAAGTACCAGTCCCTCTGACAGAGAGGGTGGAATCTAGTCTACTCTCAAGTTGCCCACAGTGAGAGACACACTTAGTTTCAGTTGATGCTGCTATGGGTGGTCCAACAAGTTACAGTACAGTGATCCCTCGCTCTAACGCGGTTCACTTTCCGCGGCTTCGCTGTTTCACGGATTTTTTTTTGTGCAGTTTTTTGAATGCTTTTAAACAGTGAAATGCGTTCTGCATCCTGATTGGCTAAGGCACTGACCGACGTGAACAGTCCAACATCGTAGTGACTATTAAAAATATTATTTTACAGTACAGTATTTCCAAAAACGATTTTAGTTATTTGTTGAAAACGTTTGGTTTTCTTTGTGCTTGGGCCTGAAAACAGGTTTTGGTCTTTGGTTTCATTGTATACGTAGTTCAGTATTGTATAATAACTATAAAAAAATAAAGCTCACTACTTCACGGATTTCATCTATCACTGGTTCTTTTTGGAACGTAACTCCCGCGATAAACGAGGGATTACTGTATTAGGTTTTAGAGACAATTGCTTTTTCACACAGGGTTGTTGTGCTACCAACCTAGCACATGTTGTTTTAAAAAGGTTCCAGCTCCAGAGGTGGTCACACTCTTTGATGCAAAATACTGTATTAATGATTGGTACAATCTTAAACTGTAATGCTAACCGTTCTAAATTGTATGTAATATCGAATATTCTACTATATAATATTAAGTATTTTAACTAATATTTGTTATGTAAATACTCCACCCATTTTTCTTTGCTCTCACATGCATATTTCATTGTAAGCGTCACTGATGATGTAGAAGTTTACTCGTCTGACTTCCGTGCAGGAAGAGGATTGGTATTTCAAAGAAGGCTGAAACTAAAGTACAGAAAGGCAAACATGAAGTAGTCTACAGTGGAATTTGGTTTTTGAGCACCTCTGTTCATTGAAAAATGGGTTTACGATTTATTTTTTTATTTTTTTGTATTACCAATAGGAATGCTGGTAGAGTCCGTGATCAATCACAAAATCTTTGCGGAACACTCAGAGGTGCTTTCACTCACACAGTGTGAACATCATTGTGTCACATATTTCAGGTAGCTCTGTTTTTTTTTTTTGCTGTAAATTAGCCCTAAATATGGCTCCCAAGAAAGTGACCTATGTCCTGGATCCTTGCCGCGTGCCCCGGCTGGCCTGTGTAGAAGTGACTTGGATTAATTCCATTACATTTCATTTTCATGGGAAAATTGCTTCAGTTCACAGAACGAATAAATTCTTGAACCACAACTGTACTCATCTTTTTCTAAATTGTGACATGACTGTTTCCTTCTCTCAGATTTAGTAGAGTGTGTTGGTGGTATCGTAAGCAACCTACTGGAGGACAACATTCAAGTGTGGGCAATGAAGAGCCATTGTGGGGACACAAAGATGGAATCCATATTGGATCACATAGATGCTGCCACTGATAAACCTTTGCCGGCAGTTTTACGTGCGACCACCTCTCTCAAATCCCCTACCCTCTTCATCTTCACCTCTGGAACTACTGGTGAGTATCCCCTGCTATGTTCTGGTGCACATCACCTAATTTTTGAGCTGATTGCTATTGGCTGAAAAAAAATAAAATCCCCCCCCCCCCAGCAGAGCTGGCTTCATGCAGCAGTCTGTGTGTCTGCTCTGCAGTCACAGTGCTCCGTAGTGAGCGGCACCTTTGTTCCCAAAGCCTGTTTTAAAAGTGGCCACAAGCTTTTAGCTTGTTGAGCAGCATTTTGCTTACACATCCGACAGTCAGGGCAAGCTGAGAGATAACATGGCATCATCATAGAGTTAAAAGGGGCAAGGTTGGCAAATATGGCACATTTAAAGGATTTAACTTGAAATATAAGTCTTACAAGTGTGATTTTTTTTGAAAGGTAAACTTGTGCCCCACTGTTTGCAATTGAAAAGGCTATCATTCAATCGATTTCAATCAATGTGTTGTTAACTACTTTATGAGGGAAATCAAATCAACATCAAAATATTAATGACAAAATCAAATGTGCCTTGAGATATGAGTGACCCAACGTACACTTTTTTGAGATACAAGCCATCATTCGGCCAATTATCATCATTTTATTTGCTTTGGTGGCAGTGAACTCAACTCACGCCACGGTAAGCAGCAGTTTGGCAAATAGGGAACACTTATTTATTGGCACCCCCACTTGAAGTTTACTGTCAAACGAGACAGGAATGTTGTCCGCATACAGGATCTGTCTGATTTTGTCAATTCAATTTTCTCAGTGGTGAGTATTTGCTGTCCATTGCGGGGACATACTGTATATTGTCAAGCATAAAACATGAGCCTCATTCTAAAATGCTGGATCCAGTGTGGTAGTAAATCTAGAGCTCGTCCTCCTAATAATGACACAAGGGGTTTGTGATCCGTTTCTCGACAGAAGTATTTGCCGATCAGGAAATCACGAAATCGCTCACACGCCCACCTAGTCACTAAGGCCTCTTTTTCCACTTGTGCATAATGTTCTGGAGGAGAGAGCGACTTTGAACCGTAGGCGACCGGTCTCCATCCTTCTCCCAACTGTTGCAGGAGAACACCACCAATTCTGTATGATGAAGCATCCGCCAATACTTTAATGTCTCTGTTTGGATCATACAATGCAAGCACCAGTGGCAAAATTAGAGCATCTTTCAGAGATTTAAAGGCTCTGTCCTGGTCTACACCCCAAAACCAGCTGCACTTTTTGGTCAGAAGATCTCTCTGTGCTTTATCTTTCTCTGCTAAATGGATAATGAATTTGCCCACCTGGTTCACACTGCCGAGAAAACGTCTTAGCTCCGCCACATTTGTCAGCTCTTTCATCTCTGTGTTGGATTCTGTTTCCTTTGGGTTGGGACTTAGGCTAGTATCTGTAATGATGTGACCAAGGAAAGTCACTCCGGTCTGCGACAGGTCCTATTTTTCCACATTCAGAGTTGTACCTGCTTTTTCAAGCCTTTGCAGGGTGGTATGGAGTTGGGCATCATGCGCCTCTTAGTTCTGTCTCCAAACAGCGCATCATAATACACAAATGTGAGTACACGTTCAACTCCCTCGACCTCCGACATTGTTCACCGAAAGTGCTCCGGTGCAGAGTTGAAGCTGAAAGAGAGGCAAGTGAAGTGGGATCACCTGGAGGGTGTTATGAAAAGTAGTCAGTCTGGCTGATTCGTTTGTCAAGTGAATTTGTTAGAAGCCCATGTTGGCGTCCAGTTTGCTGAACACTTTTGCTCCTGCTAGCATCCAACCAGATAATTTTTGAATCTTTTAAACTGTTTGCCGCCCTCCGTGAGTCGTCACCTTACTGTGCTGGAGGGGTTTGTGTGTCCCGATGATCCTAGGAGCTCAGTTGTCTGGGGCTTTAAGCCCCTGGCAGGATCACCCCTGACAAACAGGTCAATGGTGCCTGCTACTATTCTGTCTCATATGAAAAAAATATACAGCACACTCTGAATGCTAATTTATCACTTTATTTTGAAATGACATTAAACAGACCTATATCAAACAATTAATTCATATCAAATGTAAACAGAAGTTAAGTAACCTACATATTTTGCACAAATGTAGGTATCAATTGGAATAAGTCAAGATCAAAACTCATAACTGTACTGTGAAAACATTTGTAATATCGTATGCATTTAATACACTCACTACATTTGCATCCATTTTCTAAATCGCTTATCCTCAATAATAATACACATTTAATGTTCTTGGCCACTCCTCCAGGTTGATTTATGAGACGCTGTAACATTTCCTGTTGAGCTCTGTGCGTTGCATTATTTTGGGTTAATTTTCTCTCCATACACTTATTAAATAGCCGACTAATTTGCTGATCAAAGTTAGAGATGCTCTGCTTTAACGCGTTTCCAACGAGACATCGCTGAAGTGTCCTGAGTCACCCAAGCACTTTTAATTCAGGTCTGTCTTTAAAGATGACATCAGGTTAGCATAGCAATTAGCATGGCTTCTCCGTCTTTCCCTCTGTGAATTACTCCTCGTCATCCCTTTATGAAAACGATCCTGGTAAGAAGTGTAGCTTATTCGCCGCGATGGACACGAGATGATGGAGTGTGTGAATGCTGAGTTAAGAGCTAAACAGCAACGTGTTTAGCAGACAGTATTAGCCAAAGAGTAGAAAAGTGCTAAGTAAAAGCCCATTTACCATTTACTGTTGAACAATCTTGGGATGCAGAATAAAAAAAGAGAGAGAGCGAGAGAAAGAAAGAAAAATACACATTGTTTGATACAACGGGTACCAAACGCAACTCCTATATTGAATGATCCGATACAGATACATGCATTCTGTTACTGGATATATACTTTATATTTTTTAGGGGTTGAACAGTTCACAAAATTCATGTTTCCGTGCAACCTGATAATTTTTAATCAGCTTAAAAAAAATTAAAAACTAATATTCAAGCCTCTGCTTATCCATGATCATTTGTAAAATATCATTCTTCTTATGTCTCTGGAATAATCCGAATAGTAGTGTTTAAAAAGTGTTTATTGACAAAAGGCAGGATTGACAAAGTACACCGAAGGACGCTGGTAACAAAGATGCAGAAAAAGTGAAAAATAAACCAAAAACGCTTGCAAAAGGCAAGGAATGAGAAAAATGTGAATTGCTTGTCAACTCAAAGGACAAGGAAATCCAATACGCAAGAATACAAACCAAGATATAACAACAACAACTACTTACAAGAAAAGATACTTTGAACAAACGTGGCGAGAAGCTAGGAGGCAAAATGTCAATGACTTGGAGTCATGAGCAAGGGGAATAATTCGACAACCAATTGTTGGCGTGGCCAGGTTTATAAAGGCAACTGGATAATGCGGCATATTAGCGACAGGTACGGCTCTGGAGGGAACACCCTCCACTCCTGCCAGACACTTAAAAAACAAACAGGACAGGATCGTGTCACGTTCATACTGTATTTCTGTTCTTCCGTTAATGCATTCTATACCTTCAGCCCAAGGACGTCACTTATTTTTATAACTGTGTTGCATCAGTTTTATTTGCACTTTTAAATTCTTCTCAGAAAATATATTTTTAGTCTTTTCCTCGAAACAGATTTTGCATGTTACCCCTCTTTAAATAGCACACCAATTCCTCTGGAAATTTTGGACCGTACTTGGTTTACGCGGTCAGTTGTTAAAGCAAAAAAATGGGTTAAAAAGATTCCTCTGGAAATTTTGGACCGTACTTGGTTTACGCAGTCAGTTGTTAAAGCAAAAAAATGGGTTAAAAGGATGTTGTTTTCCAAATATCATGTTGTTTTTTTCCCCCTTGAAATGTATCGAAAGAGTGTTTCAGTTTCCCCAGTGCTTCTGCTACCTTCTCCAGTCATCTTGATAAGATGACATCGGAACGTTGGATGGAATGTTTGATGAAGAATAACAGCACATTTTACACTCCATTCTTTTAGGCCTCTCAGAAGTCATCTTGTTTTGAGGAGGGGGGTTCTATCAAATGAAAATGATCTACCTCCAACCCACTTGCTCGACTGTGGCACTAATGCTTAGCATGGCAGTTGTTACTCTGATGACTGGGCGGGGCAAGGAGACTGGTCGAGGCAAGCAGGTTCAACTTGCTTCAGTGGGGCCCAGAATGTGTGTGTGTGTGTGTGTGTGTGGGGGGGGGGGGGGGATAATTCAAATAATAAAACTGGCATTTAAAGGGTCAAAATCCTTTAAAAAAAACTATTAAACGTTTGATAGTTTTCTCCAAGTTTGAAACTGTTTAAGAGATTGATGAAAACAAAAAGTGAAAAAAATATCGATGTTTGATGATTTGATAGCAGCTTCTGTGTGTACATTTTTACCACAAAGTTGTCCAAAGGGAGGTAAATTTGCGGCGGGCTAAACTCAACTGTATTTATAGAACACTTTCAAAACAGCCATCGCTGCATACATACAAAGTGCTGTACATGGAACAATTAACATATAAAACAGTAAAGCAACAAATCAGTAACAAAGACGGTAGAAAGTACCGAACAGCAAAACCAAGAACAAAAAGGCTCAAGGGCTCAAGTTCATGTCACGCAAGAATTTGGCACACTGGCACACACATTAAGTTAACATAAACTCCAACAGGGCATAATTGCAGTGGTTGAATAAAAAAATAAAGGTCACTCTGTCTTTTGTTTGTTTTTGGGTTTTTTCCCCCACAGGACTCCCTAAGGCAGCAGTGATCACTCACCTCCAAAGCTTGAAGGCAGCAGGAGGATGCTGGGCATTTGGGGTGACTAAAAAGGATGTTATATATATCTCTCTGCCACTTTACCACAGCGCAGCATCCCTGATTGGGATTGGAGGAACCATTGAGCTTGGTGAGTAGACGAGCGACAAAAATATGCTCTTTTTAGGAGCTCAGGTATATGAATGATTTGACAATGGAATGATGGATTCATATGTCATGGATTTGAGAGCAGGCAAGACAATACAATGCTCTTTGTTGCTGAGTTTAGAAACTAAAGACCATTTTCACCACATGATATGCACACAAAGGTTGTCAGAATAGTTCTCGCTACTGATGCATTTCCTCATTGAAGTTCAGGTACTTCGAGGCAGAGGTGTGAGGGATTCAAGTCATATGACTTGACTTGAGCCCGACTCGGGTTGCTATTTTTAGGACTTGCGACTTGCTTGCCCAGAACTTGGGAACGTCTTGACTTCACTTGGGACTTGGCATCGAAGCTACTCGACTTGACTGAGGCTTGAATTACATGACTTGCCGAGGCTTCTTGTTATAGTTTTGAATCTCTATTTTAACATGGTTTGCCTTTTTAAGAAGGAAAGCAAAAAAGAAAGGGAAAAAAAAGAGGGGTCTTTTTCATTCATGCCAACTTGACAACCCAGTCAGAGTTACTTGTTGGTGTGAAGCAGCGACGTAAACCAAAAAATTCCGAGGATCGTTAATTTGAATTGATGGATTCACTTACCGATGACGTTGGCAAAAATAGGATGGTGTAGTGCATGGTTTGCCTCTGATGGAATAAAGACACGACAACAACAATCTAACCTCATTTGTCAACACAAAACCGAAGAAAGGGAAGCTAACGTCACACTTAAGCTAACGAGACGAACATTGGTTTGGGACCCGTAAAAAATCTGTGATGGTGAACATTTAAGTAACATCACTATACAGGCGCAATGGTTAGTTTGGTTCAACTGTTGCGGTTCCGTTTGCATCGGCATGCAAATCCCCCACTCTTTATTTAAAAACGAGGTGAAGCGCTGTGCACTTTGAAAGTAGCTCTTACGCACCGAAAACATAAAAGGCAACCAGTGTTGATTGATTTGATGAAACTGGGAAAAAGACAATAGCAAGATACAACGTTTGAAACTTGAAGATAAAGGGCACCACACCTATGTTTCCTTTCATTCACGTGACGCATGTGAGATAGCTCTGTGAACCTTAAGCTAGCTTGGGGAGCTTGACAGTTCAGCTTACCAATGGCTGGTCAAATACTTCATATCGGTTCTGCATTTAATTGAGAAGCCAATCAAGTGATAGATTAGACACAATGGAAAATTATTTATACCATTAAAACAGCGATCGTTATTCAAGCCTCGATCCATAGAGTTTAGCAATAGAAGACTTCTGTTCATGAGCCTGTCCGCAATATTTGATGTGGCAGCGCCCCCATCAACTAATGCGCGTCCACTTATTCACTCAACTTCAAGAAGTGACAACCTACAAAGTGAACAAAGTTAATGTCCATTTACAGACCCAATAGATTTGGGTAAAAGATATGTGGTTTTTAAATCTGATGATTATACATGTTTACTCCCACTGTCCCGCATTCAGCATTTTTCAGTATTTATCGCCACATTAACAGTGTGTTATTATAACATGCATTCTTCTCAATAATTTAAGTGAAGACATTCATTTTATAAGTAAAGTTGTTTTTCCATTTCATTTTTAAGACATACAAGTTTTAATTTAATTTTTAGAGATACAGTGATCCCTCGCCATATTGCGCTTCATTTATTCCGGCTTCACTACATCGCATATTTTTTTCCAAAGTACTGTATTCAGAAAAAAAATGCAGAATGACTCAGAGGTTTTGTAAATGCCTGTCCTGTATATGCAACGGGCACTCATTCAAGGCGCATGATTGGTTCCCGGCGCAACGTCGACCAATGACAGCACGATGGATTTATCTCGTGAGCTGATTGGCTGCACATCTTCGCAGCCCTGCCCAGCGTGATGAGACACAAGGGAAGCCTCGTGTCTCGTCACGCTGTTGATTCTCTGTGTACTGTTGATTCCTCTGTTGTTTGCTACGTGTGCGGCGGGGGGTGGCGCGGGAGGTGGTTGA